CGGGAGGAGTGGCTGGGAGTCCCGGCCTCCGCCCCACCCCACCTGGCTTTTGTACGCGACCACAGGGCTCCCAGTGCCAATTGCGGCCCACCTCCCAGTCGCTCCCCCACCCCCGCCAGGCTTCCGTCCGGCACCCAGCCGGAAATTCAGAAAATACCTGACATTGCACATGTCCAGTATTTTCTGAATTTGTCTACTGGACAGAAGGCGCAAAAAACGGACTGTCTGGTAGAAAACTGGACACCTGGTAACCCTACCCACACTACCTCCTAAGCTGGCAACCGCTTTGAAATGCATTTACAGCCTTCATCAAAAATTCTTATTGCTTAGTAATGATATCTACCCTTGTCCAACAGAACCCTGATATAATCAATACATACACTCTGTAGCAAGATTAACAGCTTTCGGCATGTGCATTCAGCTTTCAAATTTCTTATAAATTCCTCAGGTATATTTCTATTATGGTGAAATGGTATTTAAAGATTCCCTGGGCAATTGGAGAAGTACAATAAGAGTTAATAAGACAAAAAATAAACAGCTTTGGAGTTTTGTGCTTTTTTTTAAGGAGAAGCAGTGATAATTATAAGTTATTTCTAGTGATGTTTATTTGTAAAATGACTCATTTGGGCATTGCATCAGGTTCTCCCCCCCTTAGTCCCCAGTCAGTTGTCTATCCTCTTGAGGGAATAAGATGTAGTCTCTTTCCTCTAGGGAATTTACACTATGAGAGACAAAATGTCAAGCATAACTAGACAAATGGACATTGTAATATGCAATATAGGAACTTCATTTTTCATCCTTTTAGAGCCTATATTCTATTTCAGACATCTTAAAATTAACACCTGTGATCTAGATGGGAGCTGTCAGACTTTTCTTAGATCACAGAAAACACAGTCCTCCTTGCTAGCTTTATTTCTTAGTAGCAAAGGATTTTCCTGAGCTTTACAGCGTAAGATGAATTGCTCTGGTGTCCCTGTGAAAAATGGGTCTTTGAACTAATCAGATATGTTTGCATATGGATGAGTTGTTTTGACAGTGTCTTGCTTATGTAAAGTAATCAATGGCAGCAGGGAATATTCAATATACTGATTTTATTTAAATTGTATCATTTTAATATTGATTTTTAATGCTGTGTTGCATGAAGAAGATTACAAATGGACAGTTCTCTCTCCTATAGGCCTTTATGTAAATCATCTAAAGCAATTTTTATTTTTTGTATTGGCGCAGAAGGTATAGGGAGGAGGAATCATTTCCTTGCTTATGCTATTGAAAAAAGAGTACATGTCCTACTTAGCACAGAGAAATTACTGTGGTTTATCAAATGCTAGCAGAATGTTAAGTGTAGGTAAAATCTGACTTTAATGGCATCTTCTATACCTGGTTTGCCAATGAATGGTTCTTCATTTCTCAAGAAGCAATTTCTTATTATGCAGGACCTAAAACTGAAAGTTTTCTAAGTTAGAAATTAGATTTTTCCATAAAATTACTTAATTAAAAAATCGTCTGGAAATAAAATATGTAGTGACATTTGAAATAAGAATCCTGAAGACACTATCTGACAGGTAGTTTAATAGCAGTTAAATTAACTGTTAGGTCCCTATATACCTTAACCACCAAACTACTTTGCAGAGTTATCATTATTCAGTTATCTCTTTTTAGGAGTAAAACACAGTATGCAATAGTAAATAGAGATGGTTTTACTAATTCTGGTGACATAGGTGGTACATGTAGTGAAGCTAGCTGAAAAATTGATTTTTTACTTTGGTGTCGGCAGGGATCATTTCTAGCTTACAGAGTACTGCAGAGAAATTATTACAACATGTGGCCTCCACTAGGATTTAGCTTACAGAGTACTGCAGAGAAATTATTACCACATGCGGCCTCCACTAGGATTACTGTGTCCAGGCAGTCCCCGGGTTACGTACAAGATAGGGACTGTAGATTTGTTCTTAAGTTGAATCTGTATGTAAGTTGGAACTGGCGTCAGCCGCTGCTGAAACTGATCAGTTTCAACCGCGGCTGAATCTGGACGCCAGTTCTGACTTCGGATTCCAGGAAGCCGGGGGAAGGGGCTTCCTGTAGTCAGCCACTGGTCAGTTTCAGCAGCGGCTGACTTGGGGACGCCTGGGGCGGAGCAGCTGGGTTGCTCCAGTAGCGCAGCTCCTCGGTGTTACTGGAGCAACCCAGCAGCACCCCAGCTGCTCTGCCTCAGGCGTCCTGATTCAGCCGCTGACATAGTAAAGGGCATTCCAAATTGGAGGACAGTGATGACTCAGCTATTCATTATTCTGGATTATGTCGAGGGTATATTACAGGGATCTCTTCGAGGAAGGTGGCAGTGCAATCCATTCAGTTTTTTATGTAACTGTCAATTAAGTTTAATGATAAAAATCAATATTTTACATTCCAAGTTTGTGGATTCAGGTGTGAAATGTGTTAAACAAACTTGTTACTCCCTAAGCATTCAAAGTAGTAAACAATCTTTTCTAGAAGTAATTGAACCATTGTACCACAATATCAATTTAATAACAATAGGCAGTGATCCTGATGTTCTTTTCTTGAGCTAATATTTCTTTTTGTACAGTCTGTTTGTAAAATTGATCCCTGATTTCAGATCACAGAAAATTCCCTCTAACTTGGAAGTACTTTTTGCTATTTATATTACTGCTTTAGATCTTATTGTATAACCAACCGTTACAATGTAATTTTGGTAATGTGTGCTGTATTCTCCTCCAACTTCACTAAGTCTATACATATTCTTTTTGTAATACTTTCAAAAGAAGATATGCAAATTTGGTGGTAATTTGCGTATCTTCTTCCAATCGCTTTTTCAAAAGAGTTTTTTTTTTGAAAAAGCAAGCAGTTTAGATCGGGTTCTTTTGAAAAAAATCCCTTTTTTCAAAAGAATCTTCTTCCACAAAAATTGAGGTTTACAGGTTCTTTGGGAAAAAAAGGGTTTTTTTCAAAAGATCTGCATCTAAACTGCTTGCTTTTTTGAAAAAAACTTTCTAAAAGGTGATTGGAAGAAGATATGCAAATTACTTCCAAATTCGCATATTTCTTTCAAAAGTGAAAATAAGTCTAGACATACCTTAAATTGGCACAGTACCAAAATTAGCAGGCACCATGAGCAGGAAGTGAGGAGCTTTGAAGGTTTTGTTCTGGTGTATTCCTGTGTAGTAGAAATGGGCTTCTAATTGGGAAAGGCCTGAAAACAGAATAGTATGGGTCAGGAATGGGCCCATAATTTTTACCGCACATATGCTGAAAGTGGAATAACATGAGTCAACATGAGTTATTTTTGATTTAGTTGGGATTGGTCCTGCCTTGGGCAGGGGTCTAGACTTAATGACCTCCTGAGGTCTCTTCCAGCTCTATGATTCTATGAACCAGATGATTATGGGCCTTTGTGGCTGAGGAGCTAGGAGCAGGATAGCATTCACTTCATTCATTAGCCTGGATTTCACAATAAAAGTTTCTTATGGTCTCCTGGCCATGTGTCTGACCAAGAGTTTTATCCCAATGCTATTCAACCCTAAAGTTTAAGGACCCCACTGGCAACCTCAGGTCTAGTTGAGGGTTTTGAACAGTTATGCATGTCTTCCAGTATCTCACAAAGAATGAAAAAAATCTCCTTCAGTTGAAGCAACTTCATTTATCTCATTCAGACTCCCAAGATGAGAGCTTTATTGTCTCATTAGGTCTGATAGAGAAATGGGCATCTCTCAAAACTTTGGTTGACTCCAACAGCTAAGTGAATCCTGCTATACAAGTATGACCTACGATAGTCATGAATAACCTCAGCATCAAGTGTTGCCCAGTGTTCTGAGATCATACTTTGACTGCAGGTGGTTAAAATAGTCTTTTCTTGGAGAAAAGTGCTCACGTCTACTGAGTCTCTGCTTGTTCTTCACTTGGAAGATTGCTGGTCATTCTACTAAATAGTCTACCATTTACTAAGTAATGTAACACTTTATTGACTAAACCTCGCATTCCCCAGTGAAGCTCCTTGTTTCACCAATTGACTGTAGCTGTCCTCTTTTTATGTATGCAGCTACTCTTATTTCTCTATCACTTTACCAAAAAGAGTAATTGAGACTTGATACTCACTGTACTTCTAAGGGTTAAAAATTAAAAGGCACATTTTAATTACCATATTTTCCGGCATATAAGGCTACTGGGCGTATAAGACGACCCCCTAATTTTTTAGTTAAAAGATAGGGTTTCGTCTTATACCCAGTGCCCCTCCTCCTCCCCGGCTTTGCTCCCGGTGTCCCTGGTCTGCTGGAGACGGTCCCCAGC